GGACGCCAGCTGAAGAGACGGCACTGCCCATGATGGGCGAAGAATGCTTGCTATGTCTCTTCATGACCATATAAATAATAAGATTTTCCTCCTGATGAATGGTGTACAGGATATGAATGTGACAACGGAAGAAAGTGAAATCCGATAGGCAGGACATGCTGCTAGCCTTGCCGACAAGCAGTGGCTGTCGTGCATTAGTGAGCAGTAAATGACCGCGCTTCACAGGTGGCACACATACATCGGAGAAGTGATGAGTGCTAACAGGAGGGAGGTATGCAGCCCACGACTGAAGGAACTGGCACAGCTGCGCCCAGCATGTGAAAGCATAGCAGTAAAATCACTAACATGGAATACCCACAACAGCTGCCCGGGAGACCGTGGTATATTTCACTCGTGCGGTCCAGTGTTCCGCGTTCTCGCACCTAAGTTCACTGCTCTTTCCGCCTAATGTCTACTCCTTTCCTCTCTTTCCTCATCTGTTTTGGTGCTGACCACATAGGAGAAATCCCTGCATGCCAGCCGTGCACGCTGTATATAGCAGTGCTCTCGTACAAGGCAAATCTTACCTGACGATCTGCATCAAGGTCAGCTTTATGCCCGACAAGTTGGAAAACACATCGATCGGGGCATGGGCCGCCAACATTCTCAAGAGCTTCGTCCAGCCACTGCGTTACGTGTTCGAACGAAGCTCGATTGGTGATATCGTAGACAATCATCACTCCCACTGAGTTGCGATAATAGGACCGTGTTATCGACCTGCAAATGATCCCACCGATTGGTAGGAGACAAATTCTTAACACTTCCGATTACTGATAGTCTCAGCTCTGATCTGGCCTTTAACCGCTGCTTGAAAATGACTCTCTTCTGCACCTCATCCCCGACCGCCTCGTTATCCACACTTATCAACAAACAATCACCGGCTGTTCGGGAGCAGCGTGATAGCACAATAGTTTAGCTTCATTTGCTTTTTGTATTCGAAATCATGTGCAGCCAAAATTACCCCTGGCACATCTCTTATAGCGGGTGCAGAGATTAAGGATACATTTGACGTTACCCGTCAGAAAAATAAAAAGAAAGCAGGAAAAAGGACCAGAATCATTAGCACACTGAGCATGCACAAAATTTCATTGTTTACTTTCTGGATGAGGTTGCACTGGCATAAATACAAACAAAACTCTCCAAACTACTTTTTGTGCGTTTCTGCATGTATGCAAATGCAGTAATCGGCCAACGCGTTTGTGCGTGTGTTTGTCCAGGACTGACTAGCTGAGACTTTTAGCTGATCGAAAAAAAAAAAAAACAGATCGACAACGACTGTCCCCGGCTGAAAAACATTTACTTTTGGTGATTTGCAGTGATAAATCTGCTGACGCAGACTCAGTTGACGGATAGTTGCAGCAAGCATTGCAAATTTTGCAGCTACACTATCGACGGTGCAAAGGTGCGCTACGGCAAAACAACAAGGTGGGTTTTTAATTAAAAATAAAGCAGCCAGTTGTTAGAAAGGCCAACTGCCACTGAGCACATTCAAAAGTTCGCTAAGTTGCAAATTTTTAAACATACAACAGATCTCGGTCTTTGGTATTTCCGACATACTTCACAGTCAGCTGATATCTGACCTCGGAACAGCGTTTGTAGCAGTGCTGCACAAGCCGAACACATGCAATATCAAATGACAACTGATCATCACAGCAACAACCTGCCGAAAGGAACAAGGGGAATGGAGCATCACGACTGGCTCTCTTACCTGAACTTCTCCTGCCCCGCTGTATCCCAGAGCTGCAGTTTGATCCGGTACCCCGGTCTGATTTCCATCATCCGCGCGTAGAAATCCACGCCGACCGTTGGATCGCATATTTCGGCACATCTGCCTTCCGTGAAATACTTCAGCAGGCTGGATTTGCCAACAGTCGAATCGCCGATCAGAATTACGCGAAACTGATAGTGGTACATCGGAGGACAATCCGAGGCACCTGTCGAGTAATGCGGCGACACATCGTCGCCCTCTAGCTGGTCCATTCGACCTGAAACCAAACTTTTTGCATAATAACTGCTTTTTGGCTCACAATTTTTACCTTTTTCTGGAAAGAAATTACAAAACCCTTCAGTTCTGTAATACGATGAAAACCCAACAACGAGAGGCGCGAAAAGATTGCGAAACCCTTACGCACAGCGAACGGAAACAATCAAGAAACGTAAAACACGCGAAAACGATGAGCACCGAATACTTCGGGAGAAGTTGATCTAAGCACATTACAGTCCGATTTTCAATCGTCCCATCTTCACTTGGACAGGAAGCATCGCCCTAAGATTTCAGCCTTCTAGCTTTTCATATCCCCGAGTTATGCACTTACCCGTAAAAAAATTTGGCGGGCTCGTACGTGGATACCGCGCGGGTGAGGGCGACCATTTTGGGAATTGGGGTCCGTACGTGCATGTAGAATAAGTACCTAAAGTTTCACCCCTGTAGCTTTTGTAGGTCTTGAGATGAAAAATCGGTATAGGC